AGCGGCGATGAGGATGGGGAAAGACGTTAGCTCTCAGACTGCAGCTTACCCGATGGGACTCGACTATCGTTTTAAATTTAACGAGGCGGAAATCCTCCCAAGAAGTGACAACCGCGTGAGCCGCGAGTTGCTTAAGTCTTGGTTCGCAGGCCCACAGTCAATCAACAAGCGCAATGACTTGCCGTTCCAATATTCTGTACTGAAACTCTGACTGAGCAGAGGAATTAGTCACGTGGGCAAGGCGCGGAAGTTAACTATTACGATGACAGCAAGCCTAATTGCCGCAAATTATCACGCTGAAATCCAACACGGATGATGAAATCGTGACTATTAATCACTCGGGCGCGGACTGCCAAGCCATCCTCACATCAATCAAGACCCCAAACGATGATCACCAGAGACGCTAATTTCAGTACGCTTGTAGTCACATGGCCGCTACTGTGTAACCTTTGCTTTTATCACCCTTTTCTGCGGTTGTCTCTGAGGATGGGTTCGGACCAGAATCCGAAAGGCCAGGCCTATAAACATTTTGTTCCAACGAGCGCAACTTTTACTGCGGAACTGCTTTCTGGTATTCGCTTGTTCGCTTCTATCAGCCATCAGTGTGCTTGCTGATGTGAGAGATCTGAAAAAGTCTGATTACGGCTCACCCACCGGGCCTGTGGGAGTGAGTTAATACGATTTAACCATAGTACGCCATTATAATCGATTTATCGATTAGCTAAAAAGTGACGACTGCTGCACCTACACAAGGCTGGGAATGCCAGTGTAATCGATTTACCGATTAGTTAGTAAGTGACGACTGCTGAACCTACCCAAGGTTGGGAATGCCAATGTAATCGATTTACCGATTAGCTAGTAAGTCACGACTGCCACACCCAAGGCGCGTGACGAGGACGTCAAGGAAGGCAACTGTCCGGCATTCTTTTCTTTGGGTTTCTGCTCATGTCTCTGATGAACAATCCACGACGGAGGTCAAAACGCCAGGCGAATAAAAGTGTTGTCCCAGCGATTAAATCGTCTTCTCAATTCGATTGTTCCCTTGTGAATTTGAGGTCGGGGAAAATGCCGTTAAGCAGGTTTTGGAAATTTGCTAGTCTGCTCTGTTCGATTATAACGAAGGTGTCGTCCTGGCACCAGAATGCAGTTTCAGCATTTATTATCGACGAGCAACCCGAATAACGCCTGCCGTATCCTGATATGGCCCCCATGTTGGTCCAGCACATCTAACGCGCGGCTCGTTTAGGGGACATAATATACACACATTGAGAAGACGACTCGATCGCTGA